GTACAAGCAGGCACCAAGAAGGTAAGCACAGAGTTCACAATAACTGACACCCCTCCCCTTACAATGTTATCTAGGGAAGGCCATGGTTGCACGCAGTAAGGGTTGTTTCCTCAACACTACACCAGCTGCTGCGGTTCCCAACAAAGCATGGAATTGAGGAAATTAGAGGGGATCAGGTGCAGGCAAAGAATTGCTCCATGGCAGCAATGAAATCCACCTGCAATGTGAGAGAAGCAGAAATAGTAGAGATTGAAGACGACGACATACAGGTCCTGGATGACGTCAAATAAGAACCGGCTGACAAAAGCAAGGAAGCCTTAAAAAAGATCGTGGTCCAACAAAGGGATGAAAAGCGATTCTTCCTTCTCGGCTCAGGCTTAGCCGAGGAGGAGAAGAAGGAGTTAGAGTTATTCTTGCAAGAAAATATAGAGGTGGTTTCCTGGACGCCATACGATATGCCTGGCATTGATCCCGAGGTCACTTGACATAGACTAAATGTAGATAGATCAGCTAAACCTGTCATTCAGCAAGCAAGGAGGCCAACGTTGGTTCATGTGAAGGCAGTAGATGAGGAAGTGGACAAATTGGTGGAGACCAAAGCCATTCGGGAAGTAAACTACCCAATTCGATTGTCAAACACAATTGTTGTGAAAAAAAAGAATGGAAAGTGGAGGGCCTGCGTGGACTTCACCAGCTTGAATAAGGCTTGTCCCAAAGATAGTTTCCCACTCCCCAAGATCGATCAATTAGTGGATGCCACTTCAGGGCATGGAAGGATGAGCTTTCTGGACACTTAGAGGAGGTACCATCAGATAGCAATGAACCCCCCTGATGAGGAGAAAAATGCATTTATCACCCCAAAAGGACTGTATTGCTACAGAGTGATGCCTTTTGGGTTGAAAAATACAGGAGCAACTTACCAAAGGTTGGTGACCAAGATGTTTAGACATTTGATTGGCAAAATAATGGAAGTATACATTGATGACATGGTCATGAAGACCAAAGAACTTGAGAATCACCTGGCTAACTTAAAGGCAGTTTTTGACATCCTGAGGACATATCGGCTTTGACTCAATGCTTCGAAATGCGCATTTGAAGTCGAGTCTGGTATGTTTCTAGGATACCTTGTTACTAGAAGGGGCATTGAGGCAAGCCTAGATCAAATCAATGCCATCCTTGACTTGAAGAGCCCAACATCGGCAAAACAAGTACAGATGTTGACAGGAAGGGCCGCATCCCTGAATAGGTTTATAAGCAGAAGTTCAAATAAGTGTAAACCATTTTTCAATTTATTGAAGAAAGGCACACATTTTTTGTAGACAGAGGAGTGCGAAGTCGTCTTGACCGACTTAAAAAAGTACCTGACAACAGCTCCAGTTTAGTCAAATCCAATACCTGGAGAGGAACTGTTCTTATACATACAATGAGTGTATTGGTAATTAGATAAGAGAAGGAATAACAAAGGGCGGTATACTATGTGAGTAAAATCCTAGCAGGCGCAGATACCAGATACTTGCCCCTGGAGAAATTGACATTGGCATTAGTAATGGCTTCCAAAAAAACTAAATCATTACTTCCAAGCCCACAAGATTATGGTGTTGACTGAGCACTCCTTAAAGTCCCTACTGCAACAAGGAGATCTGACAGACAGGGTAGCCAGATGGGCAGTGGTATTGGGTCAATATGATTTAAGTTTAGGCCCAGAACGGAAATCAAAGGCCAGGTTCTGGTCGAGTTTACACTTGGTGCCATCCCACATCGAGCTCCGGTGAGCAGCGGCCTAGGGTGTCCAGGGGAACAAGAGGAGACTCAGTTGGGAATGAAAAACCCCACAACAGATCCAAAAAAAAAGAAGAGAAACCCAAGCCCTGTGATATTGACATCGGCGACTCCTTCCGCCTGTTTGTTGATGGAAGTTCAAACTGACAAGGAGTGAGGGCATGAGTGGTTTCTATTTTTCCTAACTTTAGTTATATATTTGTTATTCACAAAATTTATTTTTTTGGTACTTATTCGAGAATATTTGTCAAACAAGATCTATAACTAAAAATTTCCTACAAAAAATTGAGAAACTTGTAAGCTAACCAAATAATATTACTGTTAACTGAGAAATTTTGTAATTATGCACACAATTTCTTTTTATGACATTTCTCACTTTTTTAAACATAATTTCATATCCAATATAATTTTGTTTGATATATTTTGAGTAGATTTTAAAAATATAAATTTTATTAATATAATGATAAAAATTGTGACATTTTTAAGTTTAAAAATAATAATAATAATAATAACCTATATATCTTTCTCCTTTTTTTTAGGCATGTAAAACAGAGTTGAGATCTTCTTCTTTGCCTCTCTCCTTACCTCCCTACCTGTAATGGTGGAGATGCACTTTGAGTTTATCTAACCGTTCAAATTTGGCTATTTAAAAATAAAAAATATTAATAAAATATATTCAAATTTATTTTTCCGGTCCAAATCTGGACTGTTGGATCAACTCAAGGTATATCTCCACCATTACAAGTAGGGAGATAAGGAGAGAGCCTAAAGAGAGGATCTCAACTCTGTAAAATGGGCTGGTTCGATTTCTGATTGGCTTTGCTAGGCTCTCTCGTTGGCTGAGCCCGCCAAATATCAGTCTAAATTAAGTCAATTTTGAAATTTTTGACTCAATCCAATATGGGCTTAGGTCCAGCTTTCAAGCCCTTAAGTTTTATATTGAATTTTGGGAAACCTACCAATAAGTCTCATATACAAAGTTCAAAACTCATTTAATCTCAAAATAAAACACTTGCATCAATTAGTTCTATATATTTTTAATTGTTACCAAAAAAAGAAAATTTTAAATTTACAGGCGCTGTTACATCTCAGTACCATCGGACTTCCGTCAGACAGTCATCGGAGACTCGCCGGAATGTTCAACATCATCGGGAAGTCGCCGAAATATTGCCGAAAGTTCACCGGAGTGTTATGAAAGTCAATGGAAGTTGTCAGAATGTCCAGAACATTTGCTAGATATTAAGAATATCATTAGAGACTCACCAGAATGTCCAAAATATTGCCGGGAAAAAAAATGAAGAAATTAGAGCAAAAAAATATAGCAAAATGTGCTAAATATTGATAAACTAAAAGGAAAAAAAAATGTAACAACAAAAAACAACAACAATGGAAAAAATATATATTATTTTTCAATTTTTATAGGGTTTAGGCAAATAATCTCCAATTTTTGTAGGATATCTGACCATATTTCAAATAGTTGAAATCATGGAATCAATTCAAACCAAACCATTTAAACACGGTTTGGTTTGGTTTGGAACCATAGTTTCACATAATCTGTTTACGACAAAAATCATATAATATTTTCAAAAAAAATTCAACCTATCATAAATTTTAAAAATAATAATATGTCCATCAAACAAACTACTCTCATAATATTCATCAGTTAGGCAAAAACATAACATTAAGCAAACATTGTTCAACATTAATCTATCATAATTTTTTTGAACCATAAGCATGCACATGCATATTATTCTACCATTAACTTAAACAAACATAATATCTAACAAATAAATATATATGGTTTAAATTATACCGTTTAGTTCGGTTCAAATCTAGAATCATAGATCTAAATCTAGAATCAATTCGCGAGGACCAATTCCTACGCTGTGTTTGGTGGGGGGACTTGGGGAGCGATTTTGAAAGGAAAAGGGAAAATGTGTGTGAAACTAGGTGAAATATAAGTATATTTTATTCACATTTCACCTACCTTTTCCATTTTTCTTTCCAAATCCCTTCTCAAATCTCCCAACTAAACACACCATAATTTTCTAAACCAGGACCTAACTATAAATTAAAAAAGTCAAACCAAACCTACCGAATTAATTTAGACCCATTTAAATTGCGAATTTTTTAATTTCCTCGCTCAATCTAGAAATTTTACAGCAGCTTAGCTACGCTTCAAGGACACTCTAGCCCTAGAGAGGTTCTGGACCTAAATTGGGGGCTTGGCCCAATAGCTCAAGCCCAGCCTTAGGGGATTCTATCCAAACCCAAAAATGTGTCAATACGCCTAATTTAAATTTATAAATTTATATTTTTATTATATTTTAATATGAATTTATTAATAAGGACAACACTTATTAAATCATAAAATAAATTTTTTTTTTCTCATAGTACACTCTAATAAGTTATTCCTATTCCTATTCGAATTTCTGTATCTTCTTTTCCAAGAGATCAAAGTTATTTCTTCTTTTTCTCCTTCTTCTTCTTTATCTTCATCATCCCTCCTAAACTCCAATCTATCCTACCAAAACTCACTATCATCATCAACATCATTGTTTTTTTTATTATTATTATTTTGAAACTTAAACCCTAAAAGAAAGTTTGAACAAAATCAAATAATGGATGAGAGTAATAATCAAAATAGTTTTTTGAAGCAACCCATCAAAAAAGAGGTAAGTATTTATATAAAGGGGTTTCGCAATTTTTGTAGAGTACCATCAATTATTTTCTATATCGTTTTTTTGAAAAAAAATTAAAAGATTCAATAGTTAAATTAACAATATCATATTATAGGAGTTGTTTTTATTTTGTCATTTAAATAGTACATTATTTGAGAACTACTCTTTCTTGTTAGTGTCTAATACTTATGTACTTATAAGTTTAGTTTTGACTTTTTTACGAGTATTTTTGTGGATAATTTATAATGTAAAAGTTTTTTTTCTGTATTTATTATACGTATGTGCTTATAAGTTTGGTTTTTTTTTTTTGTATTTAAGAATTATTTTTTGTATTGAAATTTTTTTAAAATAATTTAATTTTTCTAATTTGTTTATTATTTATTATTTAAACTTACCTTGAGGATAATTTAAAAAAAAATAATAAGATATAACAAGAGTAAAATAAAATTTTAAATAATTAAAGCAGGAGTACTTAAAAAATGAGAGTCCTTAATAATTTTAGGTATAAAGACAATCCTCCAGCCTTAGGCCAGCCTTAACATTTTTCTAAGCTGGGTCAGCTCATTTCACCAGGCCCAAAAATACACGAACCGATGTTTGACCAAAAACAAGCGCCAGATCATCACATGTCCAGTCTACGTTGAAGATCATCATCGAAGAACTTACGGGGATAGAGATCGTCGCGAAGATCATCGAAGCAAACAATGGTTCGTTTCCTGATTTGTTTCATTTCATATATTAATGTATACATATCTGTTGAGTTATTGCTGAAAATTTCATTTTCACGATTTCGTATTTGTTCTGTTTTAATCCCCCTGATTCGTGTGTTCTTTCTACCAATATGATTTTGATGATCGGAAATTTATTGCCTAATTTTTTGGATAATTGTACTTTTTTGCGCCTCGTTTGATGACGTTTGTGTTTTGGTTGATGAATTGATGTAGAATCAGTTATAAGATCTGGTTTGTTAAGTTGTAAAAAATTACTGGGCTAAAGGAGATGATGTAATTATACATTAAGATCCTCTGAATGATGAAGTATATAAATTGGGGTGATATGCGTTAACTGTTCAAGTTTGGTTTGAAAATTATATATCTGTTCAAGCTTCAAATGAGCTTTTGTCGAGCCGAGCAGGAATAATTTGTTATTATAGTTTTAGGCTTATCGAACCGAGCCAAATAAGCAATTGACTGTTCAAGTTTGGTTTAAAAACTTTAAGGAGTTCCAAAATGTATTTAAGGTTTGCTTATTTACTTAATGAACTGACCTTGAATGAGTTTTTAATGAGTTTATCACCCCTAGATATAAAGAGTAATTTTTAAATCTAAAGTTGGAGGACAATAAAGCGTATCTGAGCCAAAGATGGGTTGATCCATTTCAGTTTAGGTGAAACTTGATATAGCTAGGAATTCAGGTTGTTTTGATACTAGAAAGGCAAACAAATTCCCCTGAGGGGTTAGCCAAGTGGCAAGTTGAATTATGATAAATGCCTCAAAAAGCGTAGATTACAAGTTTGATTCTTAGGAAGCGCTTGTCCACTCCAAGGCCTGTGGGATGGGGGATTGCATGTACCTGGCCGGGTGATTAGTCAGAGCAGAGCCCTAGATACTAGACCCTAGGAAAAATGAAAAAAAGGAATATATTAACTCAATTGTATGATAGATCACTAGATTGTTAAGGTCTTTGAGTTAAATTTTACCAAAAAGAAAATGGAGACGATTTGGAATTTGCTCATTTATAACATGATATGTTTGGATGTAGTAATGAAACAACTCAAAATTTTATAACTTACTTTATTAAAATTATAAATTTTTTCTTGTTCCTTTTCAAAAATTGAATTTTCTATTCTAACAGTGGGAGATTCAAAATCTGCTCTGTTCACAATTCAGCTTATTTTTTTCCAAATTAACTCATTTATAAATTCACAGATTTTGCGTTAGTTAATTCAAGATGGAACAATGTAAGACCAAACAGTCCCTTAGGTACTACACTAATTTGGCAACTAACTAATGCTGATGTATTTTCACTTTTACTTTATGCTTGCCCAGTTTTGTGTGAGATCCAACTATGTGGCTTAGAAACAATAATTGCCCAGCCTTGGGTGTGAAATGTGATCAAAGGTTCCTCATCTCTGGATTAGATTGAATCATTTGACCGCTTTAATAGCTTAAACGTATTCATCAGGGCATTGTGTTTCAGATTTGCTTCGATTAGTGAATGATTTAAATTAGAAACCAGGCAATACTGTCTCTTCCCCACTTCCATCTCTGCTAATTATGATTTAGTATTTGTCTTTGGAATTTCAGGTTGCTCTAATTATTAAGCCTTTGTAAGAGGAATTGCTTGTAGTTGTTTCAAATCTAACACCCTATGTTTTATACACTGATCATCATACTTGGGATTTTGTCCTACTTGATTAAGTAAGAACAATAGAATTGATGACTTTTCTGCTTGAACTGTATGGCGTGATCAATTTTTCATCACTTTCTAAACTTCATTGTGATATAGCTAGAGAACTCTATATAGATGGTTTGATCATATACAACGGAGACCAACAGGGACAGTAGTGAAGAGATGCGATACAGTGACAGTAGATAGAAGTAGTAGGGGAAGGGGCGGGTCTCGATTGACGTAGGCTACTGTAGTAAATAGAGATATCTATCTCCTTAATTTGACTAACCAAATGGCCGTTGATAGAGTCGAGTAGAGAAGAATGATTTATGTAGCCAACCCCATTTGATGAGACTTTAAGGCTTGGTTTGGTTTGGTTTATAGCTTTTACCTTGCCTTTCCAGTAAATTAGATATTTCTTTGAAGCTCTCTGGGATTTATACTTGTTTGCTGAAGATTTTCTTTGGATCCTAATACCTCATCAGGTAAGTGCGTATGGAGGTGCATCTAGGAAGGAAAAACACAGAGGACGTCATCATGGTTTAACTCAACAGAAGAGGCAAGAGATAAAGGAAGCATTTGAGCTCTTTGACACTGATGGCTCAGGTATTGAAATATCTTTTCTTCTGTACGAGAACACATATATCTCTTGAACTTTTTATAATTTATTTGTTTATGTCATGTAGGCACAATTGATGCCAAGGAGCTGAATGTTGCAATGAGGTACGAATATTTTGTCTTGAGCACTATTGACTTTTAGGTTGATGAGTAGTGCAAATATTAAACTTATATAATTTGCAGGGCACTGGGCTTTGAAATGACGGAGGAGGTACTATCTAAATCCTAATACCTCAACTTGATGTACTCCAAAATAATATAGGTTTCTGCATAGTATCTTTTAACATGTACACGAATTGGTGCCAAAGGAGAGGCACCTGCCTTACAATTCAATGGGAGTCTCTCTCTCTCTTTCCTTCAAGTAGTTAGTCATTTGTTCTTATCTGTGTGGCTTTTTTTCTCACCCTTTTAACAGAGTTCAAGACACAATGGTATGTAATCAAATTTCATTCTCATGAATTAGTTCGAGATTTTAATTTTATTTGATGATATTAGCCTTTGTGTCCACTAATTGGGACTCTCGTTTTTTTAAATTGATGCTTTATTCACCTGAGTTCTAACCTAACTAACTAGGTGAACTAGTTGGTGATTTGACTGACAGGCTGATATGGTTTGTCTGATGTCAGTGGAGTTTGAAACTGATTAGAATCTCTTGGTCACCTAATCCAATGTGGGGATTGCTAAAGCAATCTGAATTAGCTAATTTAATCCATTGTAATTCTACACTAACTTTAGATCATCACCATCAGATAGGTATTGGAAGGGTTAGCGTTAATAATTTGGATTTAATTTTTTGTAATTGTTTATAACTGATGGTTAAATTAGGCTAAGCTGTTAGATTGACAATGTGGTCTTACAGAAGCCATAAAGCTGGGGCTATTGAACTGGACGTTTCTAATAGACTTTAAACTTTTCTTTCATGTGCAGGTTGCTTCATTTGGATGCCAAACTGCCAATATAAACCTACTTTCTTATTTTTATTTGCAAATATCTTCCCTGTTAATGGCCTGTTTTCTTTGCCGTGTTTTTCAGCTTTTTGTTGCTCATTTTTTTACTTATATGCTGCAAATGCTGTTCTTGCTACAAATGATTGCACCTTTGTGATCTTTTTACTGGCTAATTAAGTTTCATTTCCAATAAAAATTAGGACAGTATATTTTTTACTGATTGATTTTCTTGATAGAAGAGTGCATACTCTCTCAACTGATTGATTTTTGTGCAATTCTGACATTCTATTTGATAAAACATGAATACCAGCTGATGTGTCATTTTATTTCATATGCAGCAAATCAATCAAATGATTGCAGATGTGGACAAGGATGGTAGTGGTGCAATTGATTTTGATGAGTTTGTGCATATGATGACAGCCAAGATTGGAGAAAGGGACACTAAAGAAGAGCTTATGAAAGCATTCCACATTATCGACCAAGATAAAAATGTGTGAAAATATGATTATGCTTGCCTGATTTTGTCCCTTTTTTTTGACTAACTGATTTTTTGTCATTTGAATATAGGGAACAATATCTGCCACAGACATTCAACGAATTGCAAAGGAACTGGGCGAGAGCTTTACTGACAAGGAGATTCAAGAGATGATAGAGGAAGCAGATCGTGATCGTAAGTTCGCCTCTTTTTATTATGATTTGCATTATTCTTTATGCTGTGTGCTTCAGGTATTTGTTTGAACCTCCAGACACTATATTTTAGAACTGTTTTGTTAGTGCCACTAGCAAACCTTTTTTCCCTTTTTTACGTGATCTGCATTCATTGTTGAACTGAAGTTTCTGCTATGTAAACTGGCCATTTTTGTTAGAGTAGCTTTCAAAAATAGCAATTGACATATGCTGAATTGATTCACACAATTGTACTGGCCTAAATATTTCTTTAATGGCATGTTTGATTGGAAGGATTAAAGCATGGGATTAGGATTATTAATCCGTGGGCCCAATCATCCTATGTTTGTTTTGACATTTTGGTTTAGGACTATTAATCCAATGGATAATTAATCCAACAAATTTGTAGGATTATTAGTAATGGGGTAGGGGTGGGAACATATGCTGAATTGATTCACACAATTGTACTGGCCTAAATATTTCTTTAATAGAATTAGTAGTTGTGTAATAACTAACTTCATTGCTATCCTTCTTCCCTTTGTTAGTTGCCCTTTCTATGCTCTACCCTTTCCAAGCTATTAATTCAGTTAAATGACATTGCCAACCTCTGTCCAAGTCTTACTAACGACCTCAACTTCTGTTCATACCTATATCATTCACTGTCACACCAATGAATTCCATCGCAATCACCAGAATCTCCGCGTCATCATCACATGCTGATGACTATATTCAAGCATCATTAACCCAACACCAGTTAAAATCTTCATTATTGACCGAATGAGCCCCTCTCTCTCTCTCTCTCTCATGTGTGCAATCACAATTAAGCATGCACTTGTGGGCACAGTAGTTGATGAAACAAAAATATTAATGAAATATCCATTGGTTCCTAATACATAAATCTAAAAAGATTGCCCATTCAGGAAAAGCAAATGACATTGTGAATTCTATATAATTTCAGAAACAACAGATAAAATTGATTTTTTTTTTAATATAAATTATAGTTCAATTAAAATTATTAATTCAATTAGTTTAGTAAATTATTTTTTTATTGTATTTGAGGAGCCAAAACCATCATTCACTGAACTTGTAGGGGAAGTCCTTTTGTTAGCAGTCAGAAAGAGTTTAAAATTTCCAGCATTCTTGCTACCACCCCTCCCCCAGTTTTATTCTTCCTTTTTCCCCCAACATATTCATCTTCTCGGAAGCAAGACACTTGATTGTAAAAACTCACATTTTATGGTTCTGCCAAATGTCACAATGTCAATGAGTAGAAGAAGTGCATTACTTCATGGTTCATGTTCAAAATTGTTCCCCAATCTGGTTTTCTCAATTTTACCATGTTTATTAATTCAGTTCAGTGTATATTTTGCAATGTTCAGGTGATGGAGAAGTAAGTGCGGACGACTTTATGAGGATGATGAGGAGAACTTCCTATGGACATTAAAATATAATTGGACATTTCTGTACGACGTTTACATTTATTTTTCAACCTATGAAGACAAATTGCTCTTGGTTCTATTTATTTTTTTTTAGCATGGTTCACACATAGGAACAAAACAAGATTGGTGATTTGGATAAATTATGAAGCTGTAGAATTCAGATTATATTTATAGCTCCTGTTTGTGAAATTGTTATGCAGTAGAATTCCTGGTCTATTACATGAACCTAGATTTGTAAGGTTGTGTTTGGATCATGGATTTGGTTAAAGATTTGGAAAGAAAAAGGAACAAGTTGGGTAAATGATAGGTGATATATAATTATATTTTATTCACATTTTATCTGATTTTTTTTTTTTAAATATTTTACTTAAATTCATGATCTAAACACAGCAAGTGAACTGTTTCACCTTAGATATTTCATTCTCTCCACTTTCTAATTTGGATTGATGCATGTGATGTGACTCTTTCACCAATCCCACTCAATGGACGTCTGCCATTCTTATGATATTAGAAATTTACACCATTTTATTTATACATCTTTAATACTTTCAGTACACACTATTACTTAGTATATACAAAATATTTTTTAGGGTTTAAAAATGAGGACTACTATTAACACATATCTAATTTTTTTAGATCTTTTATTTCTTTGAACCCCTATCATAAACCTTAAATTTTAATAAAAAATTTTTTAACACTTCACTTAATACCAATTTTACCCATATTTATAATATTATCACCCCAAAGTGTACACCCACTTAATTTTATGGACTCTCTCTTCTTCTTCTTCTCTCAGTAAATGATGAACGATTGAGAACAACAAACAATTGATAAATAAATCAACGTCCTTATCTTCTTCTTCTCTCATAAACGATGGTCTTTTTCTCCTTGTCATCGTGAATGATGGTATCTCAGCCGAAAATCTCTTCGACAATCACTTTCTTCTTCTCTTAAGTAACCTCAAACTCCTCATCACACATTTTTTTTTAATATTTATTTCGGAGTAAAACTCTTGACACAAGGGTTTTAAAGAGGAAAAAAAACCTTCAGAAAAAACACAAAATAGGGGAAAAATCCTACAAAATATAATTGTTTGGCATGTCAGAGCCAAACAAAACGTTTTTGTTCAGCATTGCATTACTGAACTAAATGTGTCTGTTCAACACTGTATTACTGAACATAACCTTAACAGTAGGCAAACTAATACTAAACTAAAAATAACCCAGAATCATAAATACAAGATAATAAACTTACCAATGCAACCAACCTCATCAGAGCTATTGTCATTGTTCTCCATTACTCTATAAGTATCAATGAATGGTGAAAACGACCGTGAATGTATAAATTCAGAGTCTGTAATAGGATTGTTTGCAACATTAACTGATTTGGAATAATGAACACATTTGAAACCACCAAACAAAACGTTAACTGATTAGATGGTTTCAAATGTTTTTCATTAAAGATGAATATGTGGGTTTATGATGGTGATGAAGAAGAATTAGGGTTTAGTCTGGTAAGGAATATGTATAGATGGGGATGGAGGTGGGTGTACAATATTGTAAAGTATCATTCTAATTGTTTTCATTTGGTGGATGGGTGTTCCATTAAAAATTATCCTTTAATGTAATTTTACTTCAGGATATAATTGTAATAAAAAAAAAAAGAGGTAAGAATTGGGGGTTTAAAGAAATTAGGTAGGTTCTAATAGTAGCACTCTTAAAAATATCTTAATTCACACATTAACTTTCCATTACTAACTATATATTAACACACTACTAATTATTTGAATACACACCATTACACACACTGAAAATTCTTCATCTTCACCACTACACACAACAAAAACCCCACAATTTTCAGAATAGAGACCATCTTCGTCAGTTTTGATCTCCATTGTCGGCGAACGTATCATTCGGCCTCTATCTTCATCGATGTTGATCTCCATAGTTGGTGTTGTACTCTCATCATGTCTCATCTCGTCGTCTTGTCGTTTCAAATCATTGACAGAGTGTTTCATTCAGCCTCCATCTTTGTCGGTATTGATCTTCATTGTCAGTCTTGAACTCTCGCCTCTCGTCGTCATTTCAAATTCATCAAATTAGGCATGTTTATAAATACAGAATTGAACAAACTTAATATGTTTAAACATTTATATCTTAACAATGAATAAAAGTTTAATTTCTTTTGACTGAACTAACTTAAAATGTTCAATTTTTTTATGTATGAACATTTAATATTTAGTCAATCTTAATAATTTGAACAAAATTATTTTGTTTAAATATAAATAATCAAACATTGTGTAAAAGTTCAACTCTGGTTATCTGAATACAACGAACAAACTCATCTTTCCAACATACAAATGAGATAAATATAAGTCATAAATTAACATTTTCAGTGTTTGAATCAACGTTTTCAATGTTTATATTGGAACCAACTATCTCAGTATCATCTATGGTGTGCAAATCTTTAAAACTAATTGATTTCAATGTTATGAACTCTAAATCTTTAAAGTCAATAATATTTTGAGTTTGAAAAATAAGTATAATGGGGAAATGAATGAAGCGAGCTAATTGATAATGAATGATATCATGAGTGTATGTTGATGGTGAAGATGGTGAAGAAATACAATATTTATATGTTAAACCCTAAACCCTATAAGAATGATAGTGTGTGAAGAGTATTTTATACTTTAAATATGAAATTTTTGAATGGGTATAATACACCTCATATTGTCCTTAATGGTCATTTCATTGGAAGATGTTATCGAAATATAAATTTAATCTATTAATAATGTGTACTGAGAGTATTAATGGTGTATAAATAGAATTACCTTAGAAATTTATAGACTGTGGACTAGGATCATCATTTGATCCGAAAACTCATTTGCCTAAGCTCGTACTTTAAATAGGCTAGGCATCGGCCTAAGGTTTAAGCCCAAAAGGGGCTTGAGTTTGATTGAACTCGCCGTCTGGACCCGAGAGTCTGACAAAAAATATAAATAAATAAAATTCAAAAAATAAGTCCGAATCTCAACATTTTGTGCCAAGCCCTTGGATGGACTAGTTGGTCTATCAACCCGACCCATGGCCACAATCATCACTTTATTTGGACCATGTTCATTAAGTAGAGGTTAGGTACATTGGTGTAATAATAGCCTGGTCCACTCAGGCCTTGGCTCAAATCGGTTCGTGGTGGGCTCCCGCCAAAATTTGGGTTGGCTTACGGGCCAGAAAATTAGGCCCAAGCTGGGCCTTGGATGGGCCGGCAAAACTAGGCCTAGGCTCGAGCTTGGGGCGGACTTAAACAATTTTTTTAAATTTTTTTCTATTTTTCCCACCAAAATTTTATTTTTTTCCACCAAAAATGATACTAGGTCTCGAACGGGCCAAGCTTCAAGTTGGGCTTTGAGTGGCCCGATGGGCTGAGCCATGGGCTTCAAAATGACAGCTCAAGCCCAAACCCATGCCCATGCCCATGCCCATGCCTAGAGCCCCGGGCTAAGCTTGAGCTCGGGCCTAACCAAGCCAGGCCCACCTTAGGCCGTGAGCGGGCTTCGACCGCCCACGAACTAAGGACCATTTTTACACTCCTAATTAAATATAAGTTTTTGGCCTTGAATTAATCTAACTCGGCCCATTAATAAAAAAAAACTCATTGAATCATGGAATTGAGCACCATTTTTACGAGCTAGTTTGACATGATATTGACCCTCTTGGCATGGAGAATCGGAGATGACGTGTACATTGATGTGAAATTGGAATAAGGGTCTTTCTACTACTTTATGGACAACATAAAAAATTTCCTCATAATATTATTATCGAATATCAATCAAGATTTTTTAAAGAAATGATGTATTTTTTTAGATTAATGAGTAAACTTCCTAAGTCTGTCCTCTACCAACTTCAGAATCAACTATCTAATGTCGATTTAACCGGAATAAGACAAGGGGAAAATCTCGAGTCTGTGCACACACATCATTTAAGTCAGAGAGTACAGTTGTGAGAATTCGACTCCATACCCAAGCCCTAAATACGGTTCATCCAGCACTTAAAGGGTTGTCCTAGGACCACTACACCAAATCCCTGGGAGTTGGTCCTAGGGAGTGTACAACCTGAGACCTCAGGGTTTATGTCCCAAAGTCTTATCAAAGTGCCACAATCTCTTGAGTTCTTAAAGAATATATTTAAGTTTCGTTTGTCAACTGCATATTTTAGTAAAAAAATCAAAAAATTATTATAATTTGTCATATTATTCTCTCTGTTTTTTTGTATATCTTTTCATAAAAAGTCACAAAATTACTAAAATAATTTATTTCTAAACAAGGCCCAATCTCACTAAACAACTATAAAGGCTTCAACATAAATATTTTTTAAAAAGAAATAAGGTCTATTTTGACAATAAGGTTAAAAGTTAATTTTTTTTAAATCATATCACTTTTTTATTTTATTTTTTTACATATTTTTTTAAAAAAAAAATTAAAATTAAAATTGGCCGTTGAAGCAACCACTCGGTGGTATCATGGACGGTTTATTGGTGTTGACTCTATCCTAATGTCCTATTAAGATCTAGCCTAAAATGAGCTAGTCACGTGCTTGTTATTGGGCAGCTGTGGCCAGTTCATAAATTCGTCAAGTATCTTGAAAGTAGCGGCTATTGGCAAGAATCTTAAAAGTAGTGTCTTTGTCGAAGTTTCGCCGACCAAAAATACTTGTTTGGTTTAATTTTAAAAGTTTTTTTCCACCATTTTTTAAAAATATATTTAGTTTAACAAAAATAAACACCAATAAAGATAATTTTAAATTTTTAAAAATTATGTATATTCGACAAATAATTAGTAAGATAATTGTAAATTTTTAAAAGTTATGTATATTCGACAATAATTAGTAAGATAATTTTAAATTATAATTCTTCACTCTTCCAAAATTTCAATAATTCGCACCCTTAGATTTATAAAGATTCACACCATCAAAATATTTATAATACAAAATTTTAAAAATAGTTTCTAAATTGCATTTTATCAAATATTATTCTATTTTATGTGTTATACTTTTGTATAGTTTAGGGTTACTTATATTCTTTTATTTGTTCTTATTTGTTACTATTATTATTTTTTGTTCATATATCATTTATTTTTTCTCCTATAAATTGCACTTTAATTTCCTTATACACATTATTTTGTATTCATGTTTTTTGTTCATTATCTAAAAATAGACATATTGTCTGAAAATAAAAATATTATTTACGTTCAACATGACATACTTAAAAATG